ATCTCAGTGTGGGCCGCCAAAACAAGAGTCCCGATTATAACTGAGTCCATGACACAAGATTGTTTTTACAAGATCAGATCTTTACTGAAAGTGGTAAATGATCTGGATGTGCCAGAAGATGAGAAGAAAAAGGAGTTACAAAAAGATAAATCTACATTTCCTATTATATTCCTATATTTTGTATTTGGTGTTGTATTTTACTGGATGATTACAGTTGATCTTTTCATGTACATACTCAGCCTTTAAATGTTTCACGCTTAAGAAACAAGGAAATCCCGTTGTCCACTACAGTGGACATGTCGTAAAATATGAATAAAATTAAGTTTTAATTTTTTTTTTCTTTGCAATTTTTTTACCACCCCAACACTTAATTTATGTCAAAAATAAATCTTTTTTTTTCCTGGGACCTTTTCCTCTATATTTTGCATCAATAGTGGTGGGTAATAATCTTGAGTCTAGGCTAGCTATGGATTCCAAAAATTCCAAAAATAAGGAAAGTCTCATAGGAAATAGAGAATTTTAAGGTCCAGTGTGTAGGATTTAGTGGCATCTGTGGTGTAATTGCAGAACGCAAATCCCTTGCTGCGAAATGTGCGAATAAAGCAACGCCCCTATCTAGAGCCCATGTTTGGTTTGTCCCATCTGGGCTACTGTAAAAATATGGCAGTTTAACATGGCAACCTCCATGGAAGGTGAGCTCTGTAGATAAAAATGTCAAATATTTTCACAAGTAGAAGCTACCATTTTCTGTGGTTTTGTATCATCCAGTTTAACACAACCCTACAGATAACAGTTTTCTTCCTTGCATCCATTTCAGTACAAACATACAGCCAATGGTAGCCACTGCACTACCCGCGAGGATTCACTGCTCAACTAACCTTCAACAGGATGTGTACATTTTGTTTTCGGTGTGAAAGGACACTAATTCAGGCTCAACTGAACTTTTCCTGATTTAAACATGACACGTTATTAGAAGATACAGTATATTGTCAGAACAGACTACCTGCTGCTGCTGACTGAACAGAACTAATTATTGTGCACAAACTTTATGGATGTCCAAGGTTAATGTTTGTACTTTAAAAAGTTTACAGGCAGCATGTATATCGACCACCTCAAGGAATTCAGAGTAGATAATGAACATAAGGTAGCTAATAGTTGGAATCCATCTGAATGAATAGCAATCAAATCATTAATAAACAACCATTTTCTTATCATCTAATTTTAATTAATTTTGGTGGTGATTAGAGTCTCTTTTTTATCTTCCACACATAGTAATCACTGAATGGTCTGACAAAACTGCAGCTTTTGAAATTCTATTTGGATGTGAGACAAGAATCCAGTCAAGCAAAGACTGGGAATTGGGGGTGACTTGAGTAGGTTCATTAATTAATTGTGTTAGGTTCAAATGAGAAAAGATAGTTTTATCTTTGAAGGAGGATCTTACCAATTTTAGTTAAATTCACCTAAAATTATTATTTCATTACTGCAGTCATGGAATTAATTAAATTAATGGTTGAATTCAAACAGCTAGAGGACCCAACAGCTGCAACTGGATTTATGATTGCTACATATTTATTCTCATAGAGAATAATTTAACAAAAAGATACTCAAAGTGTTTTAGATCTACATCAGCTGTAAGTGACACGTTTGATGAAACATATGTAGCCACACAACCACCAAGTGCATCTATCAGCTCTATACAGCCCTTAATTTGGTAGTTTGATTTCAGGATCTGCAATTTTACTACTCAACCATGTTTCAATATTGTTTTGCTCTTTTAGTTTTTGGTTCAAGGCTCCAAATATTAAATATTAATGTATCATTTTTAATAATTCTGTTCACTATTCAAACATAAGCTGGAGTTGTAATTGATCCAGAGATAGATTAAAAGGTTGTAAAAAGACAGAAACAAACAAAAGCTAAAGGAAAAAAAGCATCACAAAAAACAAAAGTAAATTACAGCAAAAGAGAGAGAGATCACTATAATCCACAGAAAAGCTTAGTCTGTGAAGAGGAAAGTGATAAATGTCTATACAATATAATGAAGAAAATGCACACATCTATACGGATATCTGAGGGATACCATGTCAATAATAATTAAAAAATAATGAATAATGAAATAGTTTTTTAAATGAGAGAGCATGCGGGAGAAAGAAAGACATCTACCTCTGTAAAATGTAAATGAGTTTTTAAAACTATGAGTGATGCCTGTATGATTTTTTTATGAACAAACCAAATGAAATGTGAAATCAAATTCAAAATTGTTTCATCTGCATGTCTAGAGCAGGGGTCTCAAAATGCAGCCCCTCCAGCCAGTGACATGATATAAAAAATATAACATAATCCAGCTGGCAAGATTATTTTTTGTATTAGTTGTTTCATATCAATTTAAACTACTTAACTAATAGAAATATTTTGAGAATATTGCTTGTAGCAATATTGCTCGTCTTGTAGCACTTTGAAAACTGAAGTGGCCCTCCCATGAGATGACAATACCAACAGTGGCCCCAAGTCAATTGAGTTGGAGGTCCCTGGTCCAGAGATCATTAATACCTGCTGGGAAACAACAGAATGTAAATAGCAAAGTTGAGAAAAATCAAGAAAACAACACCTCTGCACAGCAGGTCCAAGTTATGATGGAGCATTCATGTAGGACATGAGGTCAGCTTGGGTGTCTTTGAGACAACAATAAAAGCTTTGGTTTGTCATTGACAATCAACTGCATGGAAGTACAGTAAATTCACAGAGCCTTTATTCACTGGGTCATAGCAATGACTCCTCTTCAACAGTTCAGAAAATGGAAAGCAATTCCTTCTCTTCTCTGGCAAGATGTAGTACTTTCACTTTATCCAGGAGGTTAAGGAATTTAACCAAGAGAACTTCCTTTGTCATCTCGCAGCGGTAGGACTGCAATGACCTCTTTCAGTGAGCGGAAAGGGAAATTATCTTCCCCAGGAGCTCTAGGATCAATTGGAGCACAAAGCCAAAGACATTGCGGTCCTCTGCACACTCTGGAACCCGCACAAAGAGGAGATTTGAAGGTCGACTTTGATTCTCCAAGACTTCAAATTTCTCTGCCAAATAAGCATTGTCTTTTACGAGTTGCCGAACCGGGACTGAAGATCTTGAACGTTGTCCTCATTTGAGCTCAAGCTTGGAGACATGTTTTTAAGTACCTAATGAGCACTGAATATTGCACATAGTGTGGGATCTTTTTCCCATTCTGCTACCCATTCAGTTTGTAGGGAGATCTTCCTCCGTAGACCACAGTAGCCATTTGACATGGGGTAAACAAATGTATTACCAATAATAGTGATTCCATTCCATTCATGTCAAACAGAGTCTGGGAAAAAAGCTCCCTGGGAAAGATAATGTCCCTAATCCCACTCATTGAAAGGGCTCAACGCAGTCCAACCACTCACAAGAGAGAAGAAGGACTTGCTTTACATTTATCTAAACTTTGGTGCTGAAATGATGAAGAGGCATCGTTGCTTTAACCCAGTGAAGAAAAGCTGTATGAACTTACTGTACCATAGTTCTCCCTCCATTATTCATGTCACTCTTACTGTGATTGCTGATGGCAAACAGAAGCTTTTTTGTTGTCACAAAGATGCCCAAGCTGGCCTCATGTCCTCCATGAACTGTCCATCCTACATGAATGCTCCCTCATAACATGGACCTGCTGTGCAGAGGTGCTGTTTTCTTAATTTTACAATTTTACTTTCCCAACTGGTAATTATAATCTCCAGACTTTAAAGGATGCAGATAAAGTGCTTTTAAATCCATTTTCATGTGGGGTTTATGAATTTTTTATTCTACTTTTGTAGAAAACCAGATACAGCATGTGATGCCAATAGAGGCAAGACTACTGGGATACATTAACAAGTGTTTAGGGTTTTTTTGCCATGTCTGGCTTCATGCACCCTAGGGCTGAGTTAGCGGCAGTGCAGTTAAATTTCTGTCCATCGGGAAACAGTACCGTTGTCGTCCAAATGGCCTCTGTCTGTCTTGAGTTTGGGTCCAGTCAAGCCGTGTTCATGGAGAGTCTGCTACAGTCCGTTACAGTTGAGAAAATATTTTAATGATAAAGTTGTGTTTTTGTACAGTAATCAGAGAGCGCTGGTAGAACGCCTTGCTGTTGCTAGCTAGCTTACTCTTGTATCTTAGCTCATGTGTCACTAAAAGTTAATTGACGGCTGTATGTCATGACATTATTAGTTGAAATTGGTTAATTCATGCTTCTGTAAGCATGCATCACACTTACAGGAAAACTAAATTATTGGATTTCAGTATAAAATACAAAGAAAGTGTGACAGCAAAACTGGTTGTGAACAATGATAATAAATAAACTATGCAAGCAGTAATATGGGAATGGTTAATGCTACTGAACATGTTGTGGGGTGTTGAATTAAATTTAGGGATTTGAGAGCATTTTTTAAGGGCACTGAATGTGTCAGTTGGACCTTACGTATCTCCAGCTACCAATGGTGTCTTATGATACAAATGCAAGATGCAAAATATCACAGGACAAGGAGCCTGAAAACCAAGTTTCTTGTGCATCTAAGGTGATTTTATTAGATTTTCTTTGTTTGTATCTACTCAATGCAAAACAGCATACACAACAAAACCGCAACCAAGTGTCTTGTCACTAGGCATGTTAAAGTCATTACTTGCAGAGAATTATTTAATTATCTAATTATCGCAGGGTAAACCACGTTCTTGTTTTGATGACTTAATCTTAATAATCTTCTAGATATGATAAATTATGTTTCTGGGACACAGAGTAATTTGTTGCACTGGCAGGAGTGACTTTACCTAGACAATGAAATATAGAAACCTGTTCACAAGATTACAAATCGTTATTTCAGGATAATGGACTTAAATCCCAAGATAATGGTTTTATAAATGAGGTTACAAGATGTTTCAGTTGTGATCCTGAGATGGCTGTAGGCCTAAATATGGCTGCACTGTGGTTCCACTACCAGTTCCAATATTCTCACCTGTTTGTAGGAGACGTAGATGGGTCTGTTGAAGATGATCCACTCCACTACCTTGCTGCAAGGTGGAGTGGTCAGAGAGCCAGTGTAGCGATAGTAACTTCCCAGCGAGGACGGCAGCAGGTCCTTCAGTACAAATGGCTCCAGGACAGTCTCTTTTTCTGTATGAGAGGGGGCAGGACAAAGTGTTTAGATCAATACAACATAATCTACACAACACTCCTTATTTCACTGCAAACTATGGTGATCAGGCCTTCTGGAGCACATCCAAGTGCTACTGTTTCACAGCCTTTAGGTTTATACTATTGATTTAATTTGCATTGTGCCTGCTTCATTCAATGCCCCCCTATTGATGGACATAATTGCACTGAACACCTATAATTATACCTCTCTTGGTGGTGGATGGCATACACGATCCAATCAACGCTAAAACATCACATCTCCAAGCCCGACTGTTGACACAGTGGAATTATTCACTGACTAACAATGTGCACTCCAAACAAAAATGCTCACTGATATGAAACACACTATGGTCTGTGGGGAGGAAGGAAATAAGGCTGTTAATGTAATGATAAAGAAGGCTTTGAGCAAGATAGTCTGTTTACTTTTTGAATTACCCTTTTGAGTGGGAGAGCAATTCAGAACAAGTAGAAATGAGCATTTCAAACTAATGATATATGATATGTATAACTGCAAACTGTCAATTTATTGTTTCTAGTGCTGGGCAATGATTAAAATTCGCAGTTATGCAAAATTCTATAATAAATTCAAAAGTAGTGTATTGCACACTTTTATTTTAAAAGTACTGCTATATGAACAAAAGTGCCATAACATTTGGTTTGCACTTATACACAACTTTACACTTTAAACAAATAAGTTGCTTTTTAACAGCAGTATTCCCTTTACACAGTAGCAGGTTAAATAAGTCTAAGTGTGCTAACTTTATTTGAAACGTTCCACTGCTGTGCAAGCAAAATGTCTCTCTGTTTTCATTACAGAGCATGTGAATGCAGCTCCCACTGTCCATCAATATAATGCACTGTAACTCTGAGGTATTAATGGTTACCCAGCGATGTCCAGTAGTCTCCAGTGAGAGCAACAGTTGGTAAACGTTGTAACGCCGTCGCTTTTGTAGTCCTCTCCTTTTCATACAACTTGTGCATTCTTCATGTGATGGTGCTTCTTGAGGGAGGCTCATACGTGCCGTCATTCGTTGCGATCCTATCTTCCACAATACTAATCGGCCTGCAGTTTGAAGCTATCCACTTTGCTATGGCATTTGTTAGCTTGTCTTGTTTTAGTTTATCTATACTTCTCCCACACGCTGCGTCCAACGTAGTCTGCCAAAGCCTCCCTCCACTCCCCTCCTGTGACCCATGGTTTGTCTGGATGTGTATTCAGAGCCAGTGCGGCTGTGGCTCAGAGGCGGAGCGGGACTTTCAAAATAATAAAAATAATAGTAAAAAAAAACTGCATTAATGCAAGATAAAATTATTGACGGTGTTATATGTATTAATGCGTTAACGTGATAATAACATGTTAACTTGCCCAGCCCTAATTTTTTCTTAGTGTCTGAGCCACTGACCTCAGAAGAAATTTTAATCTGTGTTCTACAGGGGACATTAAAACAAGAGACTAGAATTTGCTCCATGGTTGTGTGCTTCCACCAAGCTCAGGTTTCAGTCATATTGCCGTATAATTTTAATTAATAGTCCAATTCAATCAATGAACTCTTCCTGCCTTTATAAGGCCTTTAATATCAATGAAATGGTAAATGAACTGTACTTATATAGCACCTCTCTAGTCTTTCGACCACTCAATCAACTGCCCTTTGATTAACAATCATTCACTTGATAATCTGATACTTTGGTGTTTGTGGTCGTGAGAAATCTAACTGATCTAACGACGTATGGGATGTCCATATTGGCAAAAGTTTACATTACATACAAACATACACATTTATATTTGTGGAGGCAATCTAAGCAGCTTAGAACTCACTCAAGGGGGCGGCCCGTGGGTTTTAAGATATGTCAAGTAAATTGAGATCCCCGATCCACTAAAACCACAACGGAGCATTAGGGACTCTCCATCTGAATAACGCAATGCACAGAGATTATAATAACCAAAAGCTGTATAGTGATTGAAGTTGATTCTATATTACAAAATAAAATATGTAACCAATGAAAGGAAACATGATTATATGATTATAACTGATTATTGGATAATTAATAAGTATAAACGCATAGTAGTAAGATAGAACTATGGAAAGTAAGGTCAAGAGAGCAAATCATGTTGAAGTGTTGAGTAACTAGGTGAAAAGGCACGTAGGCCACCGGACATGTCTGGTGCGGAGAGAAAGGGGAAGTTGAGCGCACACAGCGGATTCATCTAGTGAAGTTGAGCGCACACAGCGGATACATCTTTTAAAGTTGAGCGCACACACAGGACCGTCTTGTGAGGAGCAAAAGAGGAAGTGGCACGGCCCTGAACCGAACATCCTAGGGGGATAAAAGGTGCTGCACAAGGAGGATCGTGGTTAGTCCTTGGCCGGCTCTCGGGTTGAAGACTTGCTGATCAATCGACCACATCGGAGCAACTCATCTTCGAACTTAGAATTTCAACTCAAGAGATAGAGCAACGAACAAGCCATCATCACAGAAAGAGAAGTCCAACAACCTACAGCCGAGACGGGAGCGGCAGGCAGAGGAGGATTTACCATCTCCACTCGGCTGCAGAGACTTTGCAGACTTTGGACAAAGTCGGGAGTTTCAACAGCAACCAACAGTACGGCAGACGAGGAAGAACTGTATCGGCCGGTACACCTCTTCCCTCTCTCTCTACAAGCTGGACATTCAGCCCTTCAGTTCCAAGCCTTTCCATCAGGGGTTCGAAATTTCAACAATTATTTACTTAATATTAGGAATATAGTTAATCATTATTAGCACAATCATTTTTTTTATCAGTCTATGCTGTATGCTGGCCCTTGCTAAATCTTGCAATAAAAATAACCATTGAAGTTAAAGAATGAACTGCGGACATTGGATTCGTGATATCTCATCAGGCAGTAATTATTAGGTAGAGTGATCATCAACTTAACGGTTCTAACAGGTTACTCTAGCCCAGGAAATTAAACAGACCCTTAGGACTTACTGTCCAAGCCCCTACAATAATCCTACCAACTAACAAGTGCACAGATCAATAAGAGGAGAGCTGCCGTTAACGAACGTGACTAGTGCAGTATTCGGCTCTAGGGCTATTCGGTCAGGTGCTGCACTAGAGTGAGCAGGGTAGGCGTTCGGACGAAGGCAGTTAGAAGCTAGGTGTGTCTCCTCGGCACCAGCTTAAATAGTCTTTTTAACCTAATAGGGTAATACTCAGGGGGCTCAGAGGCTCGGACCCTTTATAACGGAGAGCTGGTCTAGTACCACCTATACGGGGGGAACTTGGGATCTAACAGAGGGAGAGAGAAAATTCAGACCATGCTTCTAATTAAGACCTGCATTTATTTGTCAAAATGTTTGGATTGAAGTCTTATTGTAATATATGTAGTAAAGACTTGTATTTAATGTATTTAATTAAAAGGAATTACGTTTATTTTTTGGCTAAATAGAAGTTATTACTATATTGACGGTACAAATATAGAGTTTTGAACTGATTAATGAAGGACTATCATAGATGCATTTGCTCAACAAGTACACTAAATTATACAGTAATGAAAATATACCCTTTGTATATAAATATCTAAATATCAGTTATTGGCAGTTTCCGGAATATAGGAAGATCTGAAATTCTTTAAAATCCTGTCTTGATAGAAAATTAATAAACAGCATTTTCATCATCAGCACCTCATCACTCATCAGCCTCAAAACATTAAGGTGAGGAGAGAAGGAAGAGGGACAGAGTGTGACAGGATGAGGGAGGAGCTGTAAGTAGAGGAGAGAAGAAAAAGGAAGTGAAATGTGAAGCAAATGGAAAGGTGGGAAAGAAAAAAAAAGGATAAAAAACGAATGAACCAACGAAGGGGAGAGGAATTATGATAAGAGATACGAATGATATGAAGAGGAAGAGCAAGAGAAGACTTCCAAAGGTGACAGGAATGGAAAAAAGGGGGAGGAAATGTGTACAATGCTTACAGTGGGGCGGGTCACTTGACAGGGATGGTGATGAGTGGAAGGGGCATTGCGTGTCTTTATTGGCAACAGATAGCCCCGCAGGTCCCCCCACCTCTTCCTCTAACTCCACCTCTTCCTCTTCCACCCTCCCGCTGACAAGACTTTTCTCCTGCTGCCTCCCCAGCGCTGAGCTCAAAGATGTATTTTCAGCTCTGTCGAATCGGTGCGACAGAGCGAGCCAAGGAAGGAGGAAGAGTTGGAGACAGCAGAAGGGGTGTTGATAGCGACCGGATGGGAGTAGGTGGGGTGGGAATGGAGGATGATGGAACAGGCCTTCTTCAATATTTATGCATCTGAATTAGTACACTCAAGAACTAAACACACTTCGTTTCAAACACAACCCTCAGGAAACATCTAAAGACATGACACAAACTTTCTCGCTCTTTAAGATCTGCAAGCATACAGCGCTTAAAAGGGAAAAGGATGAAGTTTTAGTGAGGCAGCTTGTGCAGTGACGGCCTGTGGGTTTTGGTTATCCAATGCCACTTTTGGTTTGACTGCAATGCAACAAGCCTTCCAACCAAAATGACAAAACAGGTACCAAAATGAGCCATATTAGAGTTTTCTAATCTCTATCAGCATGACATCACTGTTTGTCACAGCCTTCCAAAGCACAGCAACAACATAAACCACTACTTGTTAGCTTTTTGTGGAGCTTTCAACCACATCTGACTGGAGGCCACATTTTGCAACCCGTCTCCTCTCAACAAATGACATCGGTTTCTTTTAACCACCATCTTTCCCGAAAACCTAAATCTGCAGTACAGAACTTTTGTCTACCCCTCTGGAAGTGATACTACAAGGATTTGAAGTCCCCTACAGTGTATTACACAGTCGGTGCTTGACAAAAATACTTAGTTTGAGACACACAACCTTTGGCCAACAAATATAAACCCAAGTGAAACCTCTTGTGTCTAATACACATCGAGATTAGTGATTCTCCGACAACTTCATAACCCAGCCAGCGCAATGCTGTTGGCTCCAGAGAA